CCCACGTAAGATTACATTAAACAGAGGTAAAGCCCAATTTATACTTCTGCATCGAACTCACGCCGTAGCTGTGTAGCGCGCGTACCCTGACGTGCATCTCTCCAGAAATGTAACGTCAATTCTACGCGTACCGCAAGCGCTGTGATAGCTAGAACCGCTCCCCGGGTTTCACACTCTCCCTCATGTGTAATTGCGCGTCAACGCGGACAACGACGCAGATATAATATAAATGAAAACCAACGCGTTGTCTATAGCGTAGAGGCTCCGGCGTAAGTCCGACGCAGAAGTATAAATCAGCCTTAGAGTGAGGTGAAGTGGTCGAGCACAGGTGCAGCGACAAGCGGGTGCGTTCCTGTGAAACTGTTGCAGTCATGCTCGCCTCACGCACGCGCCCGCGCGTTGCCGAAGTTGAATTGTCTAACTTTTTTGTACACGACGCGCAGCACAAATCATTGGAAGAGAGACTGATCCTCGGCTCGCTGTTTGTGAGTTTCCAGAATCTAAATAGTTATCAGGACATCAACAGGAGGGAATTCACATGGCAGAGCATCCCCGCTAAACTAAACGCAGGCCTATCAGGTAAAGTTATGTATAATTTTAATTTAAGTTAAAAAGGCGCAGCTGCGCACAGAAGCCGGTGCCATGGTTACTATCCATAGAGCGCCTGTCATTCACTCGCGGAGCGCTGTCTCCCTTTCTGTTCACCTGAGAGAACCTGCCAAAGCCTCTCCACTGCTTGTTTGGGTGGGTTATTTGCTGGCTGACCAACATCCCACCCCTCCTGTGATCATGGTTTGACTGTAGGCCTATTTGTATTCAGAGGCAGTGAGCAACGGACTTTCAAAAAAAAAAAAAAAAAAACCTCTGCGTTAACGCGCGATAAAAAATTTGTCGGCATTAATTAATAAATGCGTTAACGCGATAATAACGCGTTAACTTGCCCAGCACTAATTATTTTACACAATTTGTTACTCAAAGAGCTTTGTGTAAAGAACACAAAGGGAAACAACTTCTGTTTATCACCAGATGAACATGGTACATCTCCAAATCACCATGCATGGGAACAAACTTATAAAAGTAGTAGATGTAAAGGAAATGTTGTTTTCAGCCCTCCATACATTTTCAGATTGCATATGAAGTATGGACTAATGGACTAATGACATGCAATGTAATTAAATATAATGATGTTGTTCTCTCCAGCTGTGCCCCGTTGAATCTTTAATGCATGCCTCTTCTTTAAACACATACACACAAATCAATACAAAATGTCACTTATGGATAGTCAATTGTTAGTGTTAAAGTCCTTCAGTAGAATGATATGTGCAGTACATCTCAGTCAATCATATGAGAGCACAATATATTGAGGTATATTGTCTGAACATGACAGATTTTGGTCCTGCTAACTATGAAGTCATCCCACATTCTCTTTTTTCAAGACCAGTGCACATTAAAATTAGAAAAAGGCCTTAAAAATTTAATGAGTTTGCTTTCAGTCTTTTTTATGAATTTTATTTAGTTTTTATGATCCTGCTGCCACTAACGTCACTGTCTATATAGCGAATTATGTTAATATTTCTATCTTTTAGTGAAGATAATAATACATTTTCTGTGTGACCAGTATGTATCAGTCACTCTTTTACAAAAATTATGATTTTACAGTGATTTTGTATGGGTGGAATTGTGCCTCAAATACACAAACCGTGTCCACACAGCCAACTTTGTTTTGTTTAGTTTTTTTTGTTTTGTTGTGATGGTTGAAATTTGTTGCAAGAGCCATCTGTGAAAGGAATTCCAAAGAAAAACAGAAATGCAAATTCTCACAACTGCAAATTCTTTAATATCTTCATTGTTTCTTCTAGACTACAATATTAACACTCTGAAACCTCTACTAGTCTCTGGTGGAATGAGCTGCCAACCTCCACCTGATCTGCTGAGACATCACAACTGAAGACATGTCTCTTCTTTAGGCACTTAACCAGGGCTGGCATCTTAAGAGTGAGAATTATGGATTTTTCGGGGAGATGGGGGTGTTTATAAAAAATAAAAATAAAAAACTGTGTATTGTGATTGTCAAAACATTTGGTAACTGAACATAATTTCATTACCAACAACATGTTACACGGTACAATGACTGGTACTGTGTTTTTATTAGGGCTGGGTTTTGACACACATTTCATGATTTGATTCATAAACTTGCAATTCGACTTGAATCTCACTTCAATGTTGATTCGATAAATATCAGCTACAGTACATGGATAGGGAAAAAAGATTCTCAACTAATGCTGTAAACTATTCAGGTCAGGGAACCCTGTCTGCTGGTACATAAAATTAACAACTTATGTATACAATTATAAGGAAGTTTTTTATAATAAAAACATTATAAGAGTGAAAATATAATGAATATGTAATATAGTGCATTTATTTAGCAAAATGCTCCTCTCTCTCACGCGCAAATGTTCCCCTGGCCAGTCAAACTGATTTGCTGTTCCTCAGCTGCCTTTTATCTTGATTATGCCTCACTCGGGTATAAATAGCTAAAGCTTCTGAAAACAGAAGTGATTTACTGTATGTTGTTGCTCATAGTACACAAAAGACATACCACGCCTTAAACCATTACCTACCGGCATGTGACATAAGGCTGACACGCTTAGAGGCATTTTATCCATCACTGCTTTTGTCACCTCCGTAAATAATTAGGGCTTAAATCTGCGTGTATAACTTGCACTCTTCCACTCATGTGAGTAGGCACTTAGTTCAGTACACCAGCAGGAAGTCTGTTCTGGTTCTCAGTGTGATTACCACTGTAACAGCAATAAAAAAAAGACAGATAATACTTAACAACAACATACAGTAGGCTACTAGTGGGCCGGTTTTGCATTCATGATGTCATAATAGCCCTGGACAGCTTTCCGCTTGGTATCATACTAAAGGATAAACACGGTGCACTGGCATGTGCTAAAAGCTGTAATCATGTGGAATAGCATCTTATAGATCACCTTACAGAAATCCTCACTGTGCACGATTATATCCCCCCTCTCTCTCTCTCATATAGCCTATAGGCAATATAGAGGAAAGGTCGGCAAGTTGATTTCTATAATGCATAAATTGCTTAATTGAGCACTGGTTTTGTATGTTGGATTCAAACAACTACTTTAAAACTAAATTAGGTAAATTAGATAATTTCATTTTGTAAATTATATCCTACGTAAATATAAATAGCCTACCATCATATATTTTTTTTAAATGGTCAAATGGACACAATAGAGCCACAATGGAACACATTAAGATATTGTGTCCCTAGGACTTTAAGGCATGCATGAAATTCACTTTCAAAAATAAACACCCCAATTAATTTTCACTGTGGTAAAAAGTAGGACAACTAGCCTCATGTAATATGTGACTGATATGTGATGAGATGTTCAGCGTAGCCTACAATGAACACCACCGATTAGATTGTAGTGGCACTTTTGAACTTTAACAAAAAATATCCTACACAAATTTGAAAACGACTTCAGGCTGGCTCGAAAAACAATTACAAAAACGCTCTGCTGCATTGCACCTGTTCAAACACCTGGTGAGACGACATTATATGTGCAACACAACAGCGTTAAAACTGGCTTGTTTGTCAAGGGATATCTTCTGATTATGACTTTTGCGGGGTTTAGAATGTTTTAAGATGATGTAACCGATATATAAAGAAGATATCCTGTTAAACATGAGAGAATGGGAGCATTGAAGTTCCTGCGTCCATCTCACCTTAAAGCTGCGTTATTCCCTCAACCCGCATACATGAAACACACCAGGATATAAACTGTTGTCCTACCTGCCGCAGCATTCGTACATGAATATCCTGTGAACTGCAGTGCTGTTACATGGTCAAGTCAAGATCAGTTTTGTAGTGGTGTGTTCATTGCAGCCCGAGCTCCGAGCGCGAGGCAAACCCCCCCACGCACCCTCCGCTGGAGATGTTCATAGCGTGGGCGGAGTTTGCGCTTCCACGGATTCCCCGTGACCGTGTACACACACACACACGCAGTCTTTTACGTGTCTGCATCATAGGACTGCCATATACTCTCCCAAACTGTTTGCAACTGAGACTAGAGAGGGAACATCCTCAACATATTAGTCAGACAGACAGACAGACAGACAGACAGACAGATAGATAGATAGATAGATAGATAGATAGATAGATAGATAGATAGATAGATAGATAGATAGATAGATAGATAGATAGATAGATAGATAGATAGATAGATAGATAGATAGATAGAAAGATAGAAAGATAGATAGATAGATAGATAGATAGATAGATAGATAGATAGATAGATAGATAGATAGATAGATAGATAGATAGATAGATAGATAGATAGATAGATAGATAGATAGATAGATAGATAGATAGATAGATAGATAGATAGATAGATAGATAGACAGACAGACAGACAGACAGACAGACAGACAGACAGACAGACAGACAGACAGACAGACAGACAGACAGACAGACAGACAGACAGACAGACAGACAGACAGATAGATAGATAGATAGATAGATAGATAGATAGATAGATAGATAGATAGATAGATAGATAGATAATGTTCATTCATGTTTTTTTATCTGGGTTTTACTTTAATGGATTTTTTTATCTGGGTTTTACTTTAATGGATATCGTATTTTGTAATTAGCCTACTATGTTTGGCACAATTTGTTGTTTTGTAGGCTACTTATATTGTATATAAAAAAAATCATAGATAGGCTGGGCTACGTAAAAATATAGATTCTTAAAGCCCAATCTACCCTATAAAATTATGAGGGGAAAATAATATTAGGCTATCTTATGTTACAAAGCTGCCATCTACTGGATAGTTAGTTAATTCTCGTTCGTAAAGAGTGTGAATGTGCAATTGTAGACTGTGTGTGTGTGTGTGTGTGTGTGTGTGTGTGTGTGTGTGTGTGTGTGTGTGTGTGTGTGTGTGTGTCAAACAAATGAATAGCCTGTGAATGTATAACAATATTTATTACAAAAAGCAAAGATTAAGTAGCTACATTTATACAAAGATTATTTACAAATAAAAATGTGCACATAATGTTACTAAAAGAGAAAGATTATGGAAGAGTGTTTGGATAATATTTATGTGTGTTTTAATGATAGAGAAGATAATTGTGCAGGATAAGTGGTAAGCAAAGCAACTTAGTTTTGTTTAGTCCTTTTTGTCCCAGTGAACGTCGAATAGACCATCTGCACAGTTGAGAAAGAGAGCAAGGACCTGCAGAACCGATCACAAGCCAGAATCAGTATCGCAACATGCATTAAAACAGCATAATAGTAATGGGGCATGCTGAGTGTTTAATTTGTGTTTATTTACCTGCAATCTGCAAGAGATGTTTGATACTCTGATCTGTAGTCAATTCCAGAGGTTTCTTTCCCTCTGAGTTCCTTGATGTCCAATCAGCTCCATGCTTCAACAGTAGCTCCACCTCCTTTGCTCCGCCCACTCTGGTTGCAGCATGTAAAGGTGTGTCAAGACCCCGCCCACATTGCACATCAGCGCCTGGAGAGAGACAAGGAGCACTTTACTGTAATGCACACTGCACAGTGATTAGCAGTGGTGCTATTGTTGACTATAACTAAAACTAGGCTACTTAAAATCATTTATGGTAATTGAAATAAAGCTAAAATAAATTGTATTAATATAATATAATATTAAAATTATATATACATATTAGGGAAACACTTTATAATAAGTTTCATTACTTAACATTAGTTAACTACCTTAGCTAACATGAAATAAGAATGAACAATACTTATTCAGTATTTATTAATCTCAGTTAATATTAATTTCAACATTTATTAACACATTATTAAAATCAAAGGTTGTATTTGTTAATATTAGTTAATGCACTGTGAACTAACATGAACAAACAATGAACAGCTGGAGTTTTATTAACTAATATTAACAAAGATTAATAAATACTGTAACAAATGTATTGCCCGTTGTTAGTTCATGTTAGTTAATACATTAACTAATGTTAACTAATGAACCTTATTGTAAAGTGTTACCAATATTAGATTAAAAACTTAATGTTTATTTTTAAACCACAATTTTTAAACCACAACTCTCTCTAATGTCAGAATGTTTATTTTTAAACCACAACTTCAATGGCTGCTTCTTTTACCGATATATTTAACAATATCTTTTGCATTTCTAATCCAAACAACGTCAAACTCGGCACTGCACTTACTCGTGCCCGTAGCAAGACAACTGTCAAGTTTGAAATCCATTGGACTAACGGTTTGAGATATTCGATTAACAGACAGACAGACAGACACACACACAGACACACAGACAGACGTTCCTGTAATTTATAGATAGATATAGCTTTTAACACACACACACACACATAGTTTTTCTTCATTTTATTTCATTAATTATTTGTCTTATTTATTTCTAACTTTCATTTAGAAATAAATAAGACAAATAATTAATGAAATAAAATGAAGAAAAACTATGTGTGTGTGTGTGTGTGTGTGTTAAAAGCTATATCTATCTATAAATTACAGGAACGTCTGTCTGTGTGTCTGTGTGTGTGTCTGTCTGTCTGTCTGTTAATCGAATATCTCAAACCGTTAGTCCAATGGATTTCAAACTTGACAGTTGTCTTGCTACGGGCACGAGTAAGTGCAGTGCCGAGTTTGACGTTGTTTGGATTAGAAATGCAAACGATATTGTTAAATATATCGGTAAAAGAAGCACACATTGGCTTTTGCCACTCTAGCCGCTGGCCACTCTGGCTCACACTGCACACTGAGTGGCCACTCCCCCTCCACACTGCACACTGAGTGGCCACTCCCCCTCCACACTGCACACTGAGTGGCCACTCCCCCTCCACACTGCACACTGAGTGGCCACTCCCTCTCTCACACTGCACACTGAGTGGCCACTCCCCCTCTCACACTGCACACTGAGTGGCCACTCCCCCTCTCACACTGCACACTGAGTGGCCACTCCCCCTCTCACACTGCACACTGAGTGGCCACTCCCCCTCCACACTGCACACTGAGTGGCCACTCCCCCTCCACACTGCACACTGAGTGGCCACTCCCCCTCCACACTGCACACTGAGTGGCCACTCCCCCTCTCACACTGCACACTGAGTGGCCACTCCCCCTCTCACACTGCACACTGAGTGGCCACTCCCCAAAATAAACATTCTGACATTAGAGGGTTGTGGTTTAAAAATATCTGAATATTATATTTTATTCACGGCCATCATTTGTAGTAGCCTATTCACCAACTGTTTGCTCAAGCGTAGCATTTTCTTGGAGTTCACTGTGTAGCTGCTCCAGCCAAGGTCTGAACCTCCCCTGAATTGCCGCGCTTATTCATTTTGTGGATGTTAACTGAATCTGTAAGTCAGCTACACTGTTTAATTCTGAATATTATATTTTATTCTGGTGCGCTTAACGTTATCATTTTCTCAGAGTTTAGGCACCTGTGTAATAGTAGCCTAGGCTATTCAGCAACTCAAACATACCAAACCAACAATTACTAAAAACAGATTTTGCACGGGCATTGCACTAGTAATAACAAACACAACAAACATGTAGCAAACGCGCTATGCAAATAAACTTGATGTGCCTTACTTTGCCTATGAAGCACAAACTGTGTGAAAATGTAATGTTTGGAGAGATACAAACTGAAACCTATGAGATAAAACATTTCTGTACAAATGCACAGACCAGTCATTTTTAATTTGCCAACAATTGACTTGTTGGAAGATCATTAATGATCTCATATACAGTGTTTTTCTACTGTACCACATTAAAGGATGGGATTATAGGGATTAAAAGTGGACAAAAGGTGGTTAACGTTAATTTCATTGTGTTAGTCGCTTTGGAATGTAAATTGAGCAGGTTTCAGAGATTAAAATTTTTCAATTTTATTATATTCCGGAAAATACGGTACTTGAAATTTATGTATACACTCTTCTATGCAAGTGTAGATTTTCTCTAGTATACTAAAATTTAAACTAAAATTAAAGTGAACACTGAAGATATAAATTACAAATAATGAGTATTAAATATTTAATACATTTTATTACAAAATATTATAACTGTATAAAACCAAAATAACCCTGCTAATTAGTGGGAACAAATAATTATATATTGTATTTAAACTGTATGTATTTATACATGTATGATTTAGCTTGGATTAGATTTGGCATTTTCTCTAATTGATTACGTGCTATTTAATCTATTTAGTTGTAACTAAACAAAAAAAAAGAGACAATACATGATCCAGATAGGATATTTTTGTTACTGTACTACAGTAATGTGCATGTGAGAATCATCTTTGAGATAACACAAAATAAAACAAAAATGTATTTATTAACCCATGAAGGGTGGCGTGTGTGATTCTGACCTGAGATCAGCAGGCTTTGAACACAGTCTGTGCTCTTGGATTCACATGCACAGTACAGCGGTGTTCCTATGCTGGGCAACTCCATGTCCACATTCACACCATGAGACAGCAGCAGTTCAACACATGCTGTGTGACCTAAAACATGTACACACAGACATCCGGTTTACTGAAATCCCAATGTTTACAGTTCTCTGTAAATCCACAAGAATCATCACATATACCTCTCTTTGCTGCTTCATGAAGAGGTGAGCTCAGCAGATGAGCCGGATGGTGGACAGAGCTGTACATCAGAATGAGGCTGACGAGAGTGGGGTTTCCACTCCAGCATGCATTGAAGAGAGGAGTGGCTCCATCAAAGGAGACGGCATTCGCCTGAATGCATACATATTGCAGCCATTAATGCATGTTAATGCAGAGAAAAAGAGAAAAATAAAGGCATAAATATTGCAAATAAAGAGAAAGTTAGGCCTATATACATACATCAGCGCCATGTTCCAGAAGTTGTTTAGCACAGGTAAAATGGCCTCCAACACATGCTTCATGCAGTGGTGTGATTCCATCTAATGTAGCCATGCCCACATTGTATCCCTATAAAAATGCAAACATGGACAATTAATTTCCTTCATTCATAATAACCGTTTGTTTTAATACATAGTCTTCTGTCCTTAAACCTCAATATGTAATAGTGGCCCCAGACCAGTCGGGCTGGTTTGTATTATCTAGTCCAATGACATTCATACTTATTTCAGTGTGGATTAAGTGTCCAAATACTTTTTGTGAACTCTTATTTAGCTATCCAGTTTGAGTAAGTGTTCCTCCCATTAGTACCTGTGAAAGGAGTCTTCGCAGTGGCAGCAATCTTCCTTGCAAAGCAGCATCGTGTAGAGGTGTTCTGTCATCCCAGGAACCTAACAAAGCAGAAACATACATAGATATTTAAATGAGGATGTGCCATATCACATTTGTTGTTTTGATATTTAAACAATAATCAGTGTTACAAGAAACACTACTTAATCTTAAAGGCATGTAATCCGATTACTTTTTTCAAGTAATTAGTAAAGTAAATCAGGAATGAGATGCAGAGGCGTAGTTATTGCAGTTAAATGTGAGCATACATTTACTCATCTCACTTGCACAAAAACAGATTCAGTATTCCTCTAAATGAACAAAAACAGTGAAATGCAAACACAGAGTTGTTTTTTAGAGACAGAAAAATGGGTGAACAGGGATTAGAAAATGACCCAGGGCCAGATACAAAAATTTGAAAGACAGATGTGTTATAGATGTTTTGAGCATGTGCACAGCTCACTGAGCCACAACTCTGACCTCAAAGAGGTCAAATTAGCAAATATCCAGGGAAAGTATCCTTCAAGTATAGACAATTAAACCCACACTCAATCCCTTATTTTTGAATAAGTTTATCTCTTAAAAGCAATTTAAACAAACTATTCAAAACCAGTCCTGCTGTAAAGTCAGATTGGGTTATCTTCTAGACCATCATTCCAAGCCAAAGTCAATTTCCTTTTTCTATGTCCATATAATTGCAAAATGTAATGGTCTGGATTGCTGACTTGATGCTATATAGTATGCTACTATCATACATGTTTCATGGTCCAATGGTGACAAATTGGTTGATATAAATTTAGGTATTTTAGTTAGTGTAATAAAATTGTAAAACAAATTGTGAAAACAGAACAAGCTTGGTTCTTGTTGTAAACGTGTTTGACCACTGAAAACATTCAAGAAGAGTGAGAGAATAACAGAGGTAGAGGAGGAAAACTCACCTGCCATTAGTGTATTACACACTTGTCCTCCATATATGTGAAACCTGTGATCCCATGGCTTACTCCAGACGCTCACTTCAGCATGAACCACAGCCATCTCCAAACTTCACAAGAAGACAACTCAGAGACCTCGCAGGAAGAGAACAATTGTGATAGTGGTGGACAGAGAAACTCTTCAGAGGAGTTTATATGGCCTTCAGAGAAACAAGAACCCCCCTTGGCAAGAATGCACCTCCCACCGTTATCAGTGATATGTGCTTACACCCCCATCTCCCCAAACTCCTGAGGTGAGCATCCCCCACATAAACAATCTCCTCAAAATGAGTCGAAGGGCCAGAGGAGATAAAACATTAGATGCAAAAACATGCCACAGCAAGCACCTTTAATCAGCTTCAGAGAACAAATGAAAGTCAGTATGTAAAGACAATATGTCCCTATAAAAAGTAACTAAGTAAAACTGATCTACAACCTCAAAATAAATATGATTTTTTATACACAGCAAGAGAAATAGCTAAAACTTGAAAAAAGAAAATTAACCATGAACCAAAGCCAATGTAACTGCAAATGTAATTGGTGATACAGTATCTGCCTCTCCAGCAAAACATGATTTGCATCCAGTGTTATGCAGAAACAGGATCGCTCTAGCTGGATAGAGCGGCTATTGAATGTGCATGTGTGTGAAAGCAGTCAGAAAGGGCGATAAGTGTTTGTTAACGACTTCTGGATTTAGCCTTGAATGGTTGAGGGTGTGTTTTATCAGCCCTGTTTGGGTATTAGCATAAGATTCCTGATCCAGAGAGACCCTGACGGTTATCTACAACAAAAACAACTTTATGTAAACATAACATGCCTCATTTATCCTCAACAGTCACACATTTAAAGTAAAATTTCATATATTGACTTAATTTAATGTATATTCTTTAGTTTGAATTTTAAATTCAACTTCTGATATTTTAAGTAAATTCTTCCAATTATTTTGTGTTGTGTGGACAAAATTCGAAAAGCACCAACAAATACTCATGTCAAAGCTGAAGCAGTAAAAAAAAAGAATGTATACAGTACTTATTGCATGTTAATAAAATTTATTGTAGATTGTGTCAACAATTGTGAAAAAATTCAAGTTAACACCACTTTCAGGTAGTATAAACGTTTGTGCGTTATAACTATGATCATCATACTCACAGAGAAGGTCAATATAAAATAGGTGTAACATAAAAGAAAGCAAGTATGAAAAGTGAAGTATAGTGCCTTAAAATGAGTGTGCTGCATGTGAAGTCAAAAGAAAATGGGGTGTTTGGGTTTAAAATAAATACGTTCATGTTACTATCCAACGTTAGCCAATAAAAAGCAGCAATAGAAGTCAAAACCAGCTTACAGAAAAAGAAGTACCGTCAGATTAAAGAAGCGATATGATTCATAGCTCCACTAAAGCTCAAAAACTGTTTCTCATTAAACATTTTAGTTCAGTTCATATATACCAGTTTGAACTCACACCTCAAGCATACAGATATGCTGTGAGATGAATGTAAAGGTGATACAGAAAAAGCTGCCCCTGTTTGTCATTTATTTATCTTGAATCCAGATTTTTAAAGGTGTTTGTGCAACCATTTCAGCAAGCTTAGATTATTATCTGATGGGGGTTCATTGTGCAAAAGCAGGCGCTGGGCTCTGGGATTGGCTGAGGATAGCTCTTAAAAGCTTTCTCTACACCTGAGGTCACAGTTTTATACAGGAATGTAAACGGGTACAGTCAGTACATGTTTTGATGTACCGTAGTACATTGGTACTACAATTCAGTTCATTACCTACATCCGTCCCCTCCAAAATAACCTTGTAAAGTCATGTTAGATCATTAGTCACTCAGGACACAGCCGGGTTTGGTGTTTTACTTGTTTTCTTACTAACGTGCTGCCCCAAGCGGCTGTGGGGGCCTGATGAGTCTACAGCAACATCAATTAGATGATCTGGGCGGAGCCACTGCAGGAAAAGCAGGAAGAGGAAGGTAATAACAGCAACAAAGGAGAAAATGGAGCCTGCCACGGCACCACAGTGAGAGCGCAGTCTCTGCAGTCGCGCAGACAATGGCAAAACGGGCTCCCTGCACACCCGATTGTACACCTGAAACAAACACAGAAAGAGTGGGAGAATTATACAATGACTACAATTTAGAACATTTGGGTCAGTGAGATTTTTTTTATAAAAATTAATTGGGGGTTTTTTAGCAAGGAGGCATTATTCATCAAAAAGTGACAGACATCTTGGCAGTGACAGTTATCTTGGATGTATGTTAGATTGTAATTTATCTGGAGTAGGTCAGGCCCAAAAGGTAATCACCAAAGTTAATCAGAGAGTTCGGTTTTTGGCCAGAATATCAAAGTTTTTGGATGAAAAAACAAAGCTAGTTTTGGCAAGAGCTTTAATTCAGCCTTATTTTGATTATGCGTGTGGCGCATGGTACAATGGTCTCACAGGGAACCTGAAACATAGGCTTCAGACGTCTCAAAATAAATTAATAAGGCTAATTTTAGACCTCCCCATAAGAACTCATCTGGAATGTTCCCACTTTGAAAGGGTGGGATGGTTGAAAGTTGAGGATCGAGTGTCTCAGATGCAGCTGGGTATGGTACATAAAATTGTTTATGGAGATGTTCCCAAATATTTTAGAAATTATTTTAATAGAGTAAACGAAGTTCACAGGTACTCCACTAGGGGTAGCTCAACCGATTTTGTACCCCTCCAGATTTAATACAAATCTGGGCAAACAGTCTTTTCTTTATGCTGGAACTACCCTTTGGAATCGGTTACCTGGTACAAGTAAGAAGTATAGGTAGTTTTAAACAGGGTTTGAAAGTATGGTTTAGGTGCCAATTGTAGTTATTATAATACCATAGTCTATTTTTATGATCATTTTTTCTGTATAATATGTATGAATTTGTTTAATGTATGATGAATGATTGATGTGTGATTTGCTGCCACTTGTCCTCTTCCGCTGCCTTTATAAGGGACCACAATGGAAATAAGTCTTCGGGCTTTATTGTGTTATCCCTGACTACTTATGTATTTTATTTTAATGTATGACACAGTTTCATATTTTTATATTTAAGTGGTCAAATAAAATCAATCAATCAATCAACAAAAAAAGCATCACGATTATTACAATGATTTCTGGGTGATCAGGATCATGTGACATTGAAGACTGGACTAAATGGCAACTGAAAAATCAGCATTACCACCATAGAAATAAATTACATTTTAAAATACAATAAAATAGAAAACAGCTATTTTAAATTTGATTCATATTTCACAATATTAGCTTTGGTGAGCATAAGATACTTTCAAAATAATAAGAAATCTTACTGACTCCAAACTTTTGAATGGTTGTGTACAATAATAATAATTACACAATAATAAACAACAAATAATGATTAAATTCGAGCATGTTCTTAAAACTTACCTTTTCTGTGCGCTCTGCAACATTTCTCCAAGTGTACAGGGTTCGGACCTTGCGGTGGATGGCGGCAGGAGACGCCTCATTTCCTGTGCGTATTCTTGCAATTACAGTTTCCAAGCCATCGCAAAGTGACTGAACTGATGGTTCACACAGAGTCACCAACTCATCAGGCAGGACTTCAGGTATACCTCCAACACGAGTGCTCACCACCTACACACACAATAAACCAGTTAATTGTAGCATTAAAAAGTATACTGTATCCATCTTATATGTGGGGCAGTTGTGGCCTAATGGTTAGAGAGTCAGACTGGACTGAGTATAGGTTACCACACTTGGCCTTCACGTCATGTCACTAACATATATCGTCCATACTATGAACATACTCACACAATATACTTTTGAACATGAAATGTCATTTGCAACCCATTTTACTTGCATAATGTTACTTCACTCATACATATTCATAGAAAAAAAAAAAAAAAAACATACTTGCAAACCACAGCTGGCTCCCTCCACTATGGCCATACAGAAGGCCTCAGTGAGAGAAGTATTGAGAAAGACATGACCTTGAACAAGAACATCCCTCACATCCTTATGATCCAGAGCTCCCAGCAGACGAACCCTTAATATACACAGGAAAAATAAAGGTAAGTAAAGAAATTATACACATACTTACATCTAGAGATCATTGCTCAGGCCTACTGGCTTTCTTACCTGTCATGAAGCTGATATTTCTCTCGAACCTCTTCCAATACGATTCTTTTGGGTCCTTCTCCACCAATCAGAAAGCAGAGATCTAGATGCTTTCCACACAGTTCAGGAATGATTCCACTTAGTAAATCAATCCCTGAAAAACAACAGATTGTATTATGAGCATATTAATTTCTGACTTGAAATTCATTCAGATATTTTAAGGGGACATAAAGTCAAAACTGTCCTGATATCACATTGAATAAAAAGTCTCTTTGATATAATACAATTCTTGAAAATAACATCTTATTAAGCAGCTTTACATAAAAATTAAGTAGCTTTACATTTTACTTTTATATTATTTTATATAATATGAATAAAAAATTTGAAATTATTATTATGGGAAAAAAACATTATGAATATATAACATTAATTAAAATACTGATTGAATGATTTTAGAGTCATTAAATTAACACTTTTTTATGAAAATGCTTTGCAATACATTATATTATTTTGCAATACAAATAAAAACACCATGTTTTCCTCACCTTTCCTGTAAACCAGTCGACTGATGACCACAATGGTGATCTTGCTGTTGTCACGACGACAGGGGTCAGGGGTGAAGTCAGTGGGGTCAACAGCATTAGGGATGACAGAGACAATCTCAGGGTCCAGGGTGGCCCGCAGTACAGTGTTCTCTTTACTAGTGTACGACACACACACGATGTGATTCGTGTCACACAGAGAGACAGTCAGCAGCTTATTGGTCAGTACAGAGCTCAGGTCCGCGAATCCAAAGAGAGAGTGGTCTGTGAATACAGTGTTCAGCCCCATAGTCTTTGCGTGAAACAGAGCATCATGGGCCATCGCAGAGAAGGAGCTGTGGGCGTGCACGATTGTGATGCGCTCACGCACAAACACACATCGGAGTAGCGGCAAACTGTGAAAGCAGGTGGTGGCTGTGGACTGATTATACATGACCTGAAAGGAAGGGATGTGAGTGAGAAGTTTGATATGTACACTGCCGGTCAAAAGTTTGGAATAATTAAGATGTTTTTATGTTTTTGAAAGAAGTCTTTTATGCTCACGAAGGCTACCATTCATTTGATCAAATATACAGTGAAAACAGTAATATAGTCAAATTTATATAACTTTCTATTTTAATATATTTTCAAATTCATTCTTGTGATGGAATTTTTAGCATCATTACTCCAGTCTTCAGTATCACATGATCCTTTAAAAATCACTAATGTGCTGATTTGGTGCTCAGTTATTATTAATTATTATTGGTGCTCAATTATTAATAATGGTTATTATTACTATCAATGTTGAAAACAGTTTTTGCTGGCTAATATTTTTTGTAAAAACCATAATACATTTTCTTCAGTATTCTTTGATGAATAGGTTCAATAAACTGCATTTATTTGAAATAAAATCTTTTGTAACATTATAAATGCCTGTCACTTTTGATCAATTTAATCTTTCTTTTTGTTTGTACTTACACCAGACTTTTGAATGGTAGTTTATCACGGTTTTTACAAAAATATGAAGCACTAAGCAGCACAATTGTTTTCAACCTTATTTATAATAATGAATGTTTCTTGAGCACCAAATCAGCATATAAGAATGATTTCTGAAGGATCCATCATAGGAATAAATTATTATAATTATTAATTATTTTAATATACACTCACCTAAAGGATTATTAGGAACACCTGTTCAATTTCTCATTAATGCAATTATCTAATCAACCAATTACATGGCAGTTGCTTCAATGCATTTAGGGGTGTGGTCCTGGTCAAGACAATCTCCTGAACTCCAAACTGAATGTCAGAATGGGAAAGAAAGGTGATTTAAGCAATTTTGAGCGTGGCATGGTTTTTGGTGCCAGACGGGCCGGTCTGAGTATTTCACAATCTGCTCAGTTACTGGGATTTTCACGCACAACCATTTCTAGGGTTTACACAGAATGGTGTGAAAAGGGAAAAACATCCAGTATGCGGCAGTCCTGTGGGCGAAAATGCCTTGTTGATGCTAGAGGTCAGAGGAGAATGGGCCGACTGATTCAAGCTGATAGGAGAGCAACTTTGACTGAAATAACCACTCGTTACAACCGAGGTATGCAGCAAAGCATTTGTGAAGCCACAACACGCACAACCTTGAGGCCTTGAGGCGGATGGGCTACAACAGCAGAAAACCCCACCGGGTAACACTCATCACCACTACAAATAGAAAAAAAAAGAGGCTACAATTTGCAAGAGCTCACCAAAATTGGACAGTTGAAGACTGGAAAAATGTTGCCTGGTCTGATGAGTCTCGATTTCTGTTGAGACACTCAGATGGTAGAGTCAGAATTTGGTGTAAACAGAATGAGAACATGGATCCATCATGCCTTGTTACCACTGTGCAGGCTGGTGGTGGTGGTGTAATGGTGTGGGGGATGTTTTCTTGGCACACTTTAGGCCCTTTAGTGCCAATTGGGCATCGTTTAAATGCCACGGCCTACCTGAGCATTGTTTCTGACCATGTCCATCCCTTTATGGCCACCATGTACCCATCCTCTGATGGCTACTTCCAGCAGGATAATGCACCATGTCACAAAGCTCGAATCATTTCAAATTGGTTTCTTGAACATGACAATGAGTTCACTGTACTAAAATGGCCCCCACAGTCACCAGATCTCAACCCAATAGAGCATCTTTGGGATGTGGTGGAACGGGAGCTTCGTGCCCTGGATGTGCATCCCACAAATCTCCATCAACTGCAATATGCTATCCTATCAATATGGGCCAATTTTTCTAAAGAATGCTTTCAGCACCTTGTTGAATCAATGCCACGTAGAATTAAGGCAGTTCTGAAGGCGAAAGGGGGTCAAACACAGTATTAGTATGGTGTTCCTAATAATCCTTTAGGTGAGTGTGTATATTCAAAAAGATGAGTTATTTATTTTACTGTATTTTTGGTCAAATAAACAGAGCCTTGGTGAGTATAAAAGACTTTATCACAAACATTTTTAAAATTTTATTATTCCAAACTTTTTGCCAGCAGTGTGTGATATGACCCTTTTAAACTAATGCAATATGTTGTAAAACAAACCTGGAGTGGTAGGTAATACACCTTCAGTCCGTTGGTCAGGTAGCGAATCCCACGGCGGTCTCCATACGCATGCGTTGCTATCACAACCTTATGGCCCTTCTCTATGAGGCACTGTGAGAGCTGGTAGATGTGACTCTCCACACCACCCATGTTTGGGTAGAAGAAGTCTGACACCATACATATCCTGTGCTTCACGCCCGGCTCATGATCAGAGGAGTGTGTGTCCAGGGATAGAGGTGGTGTTTTAGGTGCATGAGAGTGACCTCTCCTCCTGTTGCCCATGGTGTTGTGAAATCCTCAGTGCTCTCTCTGCCATACAAAAGTAGAGATGTACACATGTAAGTTACTTCTGCACAACACAGTTACACAAGCTATATTCCAGTATATTGTGGCTGAACGTCACTACAACAACACTGCAAGACTTGCATTGATTTAATAGACGAAAAGCTAATAGTCAGACAGCCAGATAGATGAATTAAAGAGTCTTGAGTAACACGGATTTATGTACATTAACATTACGTTACATTTACATAAATTTAAATTAACTAAAGAGACACTAAAACACTCACCCAGTCAATCACTGGCTGATAAAAAATGAAACTGAATCCTGAACAAATGAACAAAGACTGATTTAAGATGTGTGCTCGATCTTGTTACATCTTTATCACGTTTTAAATCCATCGTTAATTCATAAAAAATGAAAAGGTTTCAATTGTGTTTCCCTGGAATAAAATACAAGCAGAGAATGCTTTTATACAAGTGAAACAGTACACCATCACGTCTATTTCCGTGATGTTTGGATTCTTTTCTTCGTGGTGTAAAATGAAATGATGCGACGGTAGGTGCTGCCCTCTAGAGGACACAGTACGTTTACAGGAAACAGTTCGATTTCAGTAAGACTAATAAACAATAATATATTTTTTCCCATTCTTTTCTTTATTACTTCTGTTAACTTGGCCAGCAGTGAGTGGCATGTGACATTAAATTAATGTAAGTGTGTTTGTATGGCAGATATGTTGCAATTTGTTCTTGCAAAATAAGAACCCCATATGTTTTCAAATCCTAACTCCCCTGCACCAAAAAAGGACAAAAAGCACCACTAAATGGTCGATTCCAAGCAGTTTAAAGCCATAACCTATTCTCTGCTTGAAACAGAATGTCCCCTTTTTTGTTTGGAACTATGAGGTTGAACTGACCAAAGTCACTGCCTGCACAAAAACAAACTGGTTTCACTTTTGTTTCGACAGGGCGGGGTCTAGTATAAATATGCTGTACAAAAACAACAACCCTTCTTTCGACTGCAGTGACAGTCAATGATGTGTTCACATAGAGCTCTTATTGGATTACTCTTTACATGAGATATGGCATTTGCAGCAGCTGGTATGCTTTCTTTTTTTCTTTTTACATTCATATCTTATATAGTGCTAGAGAAATAAAAATCTCCACTATTTTCTCAGACATTCTTTTGTATGGCAGAATTTGGAATAGTGCAACACATATTCAAAAGTATTCATATTAATGGGTGACATCTTTCTTAACATCACTCATACAGCATGTTTCACTCTGAGTTGTTTGTAATTAATAACTTTACCACAATGCGCCAACAGCGTTAATGTTTCATTTCCTGTTGCCGTTACTAAATTCATTGGCTGTCTATATATGTTGCAGCTGGAGTTGCCTTTAGTGATGTTAGTCTCATGAAGCCAAACATAAAGAAGAATGAAAGAGCTTCTGCATCATTCCCAGGTATCAGGCCAGATCTGAGTGCTGCTGAGGTATATGTCACAAACATCTTCTACATAGACAGTTTATTTTTTATTTTAAACAGTACCAAAAAAAACTTCCATGGTGAATTAATTGTTTGGGCATGTCCCTGTTTTTCCTGATAGAATGTTGTTAAAATATTCAAACAATTTGGGAAGGACTGTTACCAGGTAAACATATGCATGTAATATAAAGTATAATTAATGATCTTTAAGCCACTAGTATTTGCTTAATATCTAAAAATCTCTCTGCAGCGGTTCAACTTCAAAATACCAGCCACTGAAAGCATACAGCAAAAAGACAACTCACTTGATGAGTCAAGGGACATTATCAGAAACCTAGCATCTGAACTGGACAGAGTGGTACAGGTAAATATTTGACATTATTATATGAATTTAATATGAGTTTAACAGAAGTTTCAAATGATCTGCATTATGCCCACAGTCAAAGATGTTCTACTTGATGACTCAAAAGTTTAAAAATAAAGGAACTAAAAAAGAAGAGCCGGATGAACAGCAATATTATATTCTGCAATGGGCTGAAGATCTCGAGAACACACAGACAAAACAACTGGACAAGCAAGAGGTTTGGATTCACTTTTTATGAGTGTTTAGTTTCATGTCCTAACCAGGATGCCATAAACTGATATGCGATAAGCAATAAAAATATATCTCTTCCAGTTTCGAGATTTTGTGTTATAACCATCCTGGAGCAAAGTGATGACAAGATAACAGTGGTACAGGGAAAATTATGAATTAACCCTAACTAACATCAGACATTATTTTACCACAGTTGTCAATATATTTGTTTACTCTTCTGTTTGCTGTAGATACAACATACCTGTTCAGAGCAGTTGTCGAACAGTGAAATTAAATTTAACAAAGCAAAAAAAATCTTGTCTGACTGGTCTTGGGAACTGAAAGACATGGAACAGGTTTGTCACCTGCATGTTTACAGAGATCAGAGGGATAAGACGTTTCGGTCACGCACAAGATTAAATCAGATATCTCAAATATCTTTCTGCCTCTTTCTAAATATAGAACTCAATATTTCCAAAGAGGGAATGTGAAGAAACACTGAGGGATCTCCACAAAGAATGGAAACAGGGAGAGTCCAGCATACTCCCAGTAATGGACTGGATAATATGGACTGTACTACAGTCAGGAAGCTCTGAGGTAAAGATGAAAAAGAAAATTGGTCATGTAAAGAAATCAAGTATTGCTATTTAACTGAGACAGTAGTCCATGGCTTTTCAATATTTTTTTGCAACTGAACATCTAAATGCATGAGATTTCAACTGATGTTCTAAACTTTCAATAAATGTAATGAACATTTTATGACTCGTTTTTATACTTGGAGAATCATGTTTTTGTCATTTTTTTAATCATATTTTGTATATTATTTATCACGTCAATCACATTTTAATCAAAATGAATGTCAAATCTTAAAGAGTATTTATGGTTTTATTGTTTTGTATGGAAGGATTCAAACCACAGACAGTGGGTGAAGAGAAAACAGAGCAAAACGCAAAACGCCAAAAATGCAGGTGAAGATTACTTTAGTCTTTTTCACAGAGATTTTACCATCTACCATGTTGGTAGAAAAAATGTCTCAGAGAATGATAAATTGCATATATGGTTATGTCAATGTGTTTCCTTGTTTTCTTTTTTCCCTCATAGTTGGATTATGCATTCCTAACCCAGGTATTTTCATTAGACTCATTGACTTTCATAAAATCATAGCTTCACTTTTAATTACACTTTAAATTTTTGAAGAAAAAAAAAACAACCAAAAAAAAAAACTTTTGTGTTGATGTTCAATTTGTCAGGTTTAATCCAATGTTACTTTTATTTTCGCAGTTTGGAACTGGATTACAAAATCAACAGGTAAAGCTCAACTGATATATAGCTTTTATAAGGGATATAGATTTATAAGGGATGTAAATTCACTATACAAAGTTTAATTTCAATACTTCAATATCTTATCATTTTGTTCTTGAAGCTGTTGTAATTCTGGATCCAAACACAGCCAACCCAGATCTCCTAGTCTCTAAAGATGGAAAATCTTTGAGGGCAAAAGAATATGGTCTCAACAACTGGAAAGAGTTCCAACGGAAGCGTTCTAAATTTGATGCCTGGACTTGTGTCCAAGCTAAAGAGGGTTATAATACAGGTAGGCATTACTGGGAGGTAAATGTGAAGAAGAAACATGAGTGGCGGGTGGGAGTTGTGAAGGAATCAGCTCCTCGTAGTGGCTATGTGACCATGAACACAAAAACAGGGTACTGGAATCTGCATCTGCGGGTGGGTACTTTGATGGCTTTGACTGAACCAGTCATCAAACTCAACCTACCAACTCCCTCTAAGATAGGAGTTTATCTGGACATAGAGGAGGGCCACGTCTCCTTCTATGATGCTGAGAAAAGAAGACATATTTACACATTTAACACAGACTTTAGTGAGACAGAAAACATTTACCCAATGTTTGGCACCATTGAGACAGACAGAGCATTGGTGATTTCATCATAAAATGTACTTCATGTAGTTTAAAGGTGGGGTGTGTGATTTTCTTTTTTGACCATTTTTTTCAAAATCACTTGAAATCCTATTCCTAACCTACTTACAGCCACTGAGTTAGAAGCACTGAAATGAAAATTAAGCAATAAGCAATTCTGTGGAACGGGCAGGACTCGAAACTCCAGCCAATCATTTCCAAGACCACCTAGAATCATTGGACAGTCAGTGCGTCAATCAAACGGTCGTACCATCCCCCCCTCCCCCATCCCCCTTGTGCGCGTGTCCCCTTCGTGCGCATACTCAAAGCTTGTGACCCAGTCACAGTAAGTGCAAGTCGCCCCGGTACAGAGAGAGAGAGAGTAATCTCGCAATCTCGCAATCTTGCAATCTCGCGCATCTGAGTTTTGCAGATGCATGATTGCGTGTCCATGTTCTTCGAATGGGTGGAGTCAGGGCCAGCGTTGGAGGAAAGAAGGTAGGACCTTTTGAGTTGTGTATTTTCAAAATCTGCCGGCCGTTTTGCAAATCCCATACCCTACCTTTAATACATACCTCATGGTCCTTCCTTCTCTTGTTAAGTTTAAAGTCAAATTTTAAAAAGAATGCACACGTTTGTTGTATAGCCTGTGCTTTGTTGTATACTGTATGTATGCTTTATATGCACACTCTCATGTCATTCTTCTGTTTGTTCTTTAAAGAAGTTCTACTTGTTTCTGGTAGTACCTCTATCATGTGTTTTTGTAAATAAATAAATACTAATAATAGTCATCTACTACCGCTTCTTAAACTGTACAGGGCAGGTCCTAGATTAGGCTTTCTTCTGTGCAACTTAATGCGTTTCACAGAAATATTTACATCAGAAATATTAAATATTAGTCTGCCACCAGCCTGTTTTATTTAGATGTGCTGAGTTGAATCTGTGTGGTGCTGCGCTAGGCAGTCACAACTTTTCTTTTAGACAGTAAGCTCCGTTTTGGACACGGGATGGTCATTGCAAATACTGTAATTATGCCAATCGGCTGAGGGTGGGTACAGATGATGGTGAAATTAAATTTTACTGAAACTGCAATCATAGCCGCGACCCGCAAGAATGAGACAGATGATTGACAGGATGATAGCGGAGGCAATTAAAGGGGCAAGATAACTTCTGTTAAAAAAAAGTGTTTAATATAAGTGACTTTGTCTTTGTTTTATTGTTTTCAATAAAATAATAATGAACAGTTGACCACAAACTGAGCCTTTGTTTTAAAGGGAAATTTCCAAATATCTTTTATTTATTTTTTATAGTGCTGGGCAACGATTAAAAAATTTAATCGCGATTAATCGCATGATTTTCTTGCGATTAATCGCGATTAATCGCATTGTTACGCGCAAAATTGAATAATGAATTCTAGTAGTGTATTGCGCACTTTTGATTTAAATGTACTGCTACAAAAGTGCAATAACATGTGGTTTGCAAAAACTTTAAACAAATAAGGTGCTTTTACACCAGCAGTATTCCCTTTACACAGTATCAATAAAATATTTCTTGTAAATCTCAACTTAAACATTAATGTAATCAAATCAAATATTTAAACAAAGCTATTTGCCACTGCCAGGGCATTACCTTTTATCTAGCTTGTTAAAACGAGTCCAGTTTTCTTTTCTTTTTTTTTCTGAACAGGTATCTTGTATCAGGGAGCAGCAAACAGTCTATGTAGTCAAAGGGTCATGATCACTACTACAGATATAAGTCGACCAACGTTACTTCTCTGATAGCAGCTTAGGTTTGGTCATGGCATGCCATGGTTTCCCACGTAAGATTACATTAAACAGAGGTAAAGCCCAATTTATACTTCTGCATCGAACTCACGCCGTAGCTGTGTAGCGCGCGTACCCTGACGTGCATCTCTCCAGAAATGTAACGTCAATTCTACGCGTACCGCAAGCGCTGTGATAGCTAGAACCGCTCCCCGGGTTTCACACTCTCCCTCATGTGTAATTGCGCGTCAACGCGGACAACGACGCAGATATAATATAAATGAAAACCAACGCGTTGTCTATAGCGTAGAGGCTCCGGCGTAAGTCCGACGCAGAAGTATAAATCAGCCTTAGAGTGAGGTGAAGTGGTCGAGCACAGGTGCAGCGACAAGCGGGTGCGTTCCTGTGAAACTGTTGCAGTCATGCTCGCCTCACGCACGCGCCCGCGCGTTGCCGAAGTTGAATTGTCTAACTTTTTTGTACACGACGCGCAGCACAAATCATTGGAAGAGAGACTGATCCTCGGCTCGCTGTTTGTGAGTTTCCAGAATCTAAATAGTTATCAGGACATCAACAGGAGGGAATTCACATGGCAGAGCATCCCCGCTAAACTAAACGCAGGCCTATCAGGTAAAGTTATGTATAATTTTAATTTAAGTTAAAAAGGCGCAGCTGCGCACAGAAGCCGGTGCCATGGTTACTATCCATAGAGCGCCTGTCATTCACTCGCGGAGCGCTGTCTCCCTTTCTGTTCACCTGAGAGAACCTGCCAAAGCCTCTCCACTGCTTGTTTGGGTGGGTTATTTGCTGGCTGACCAACATCCCACCCCTCCTGTGATCATGGTTTGACTGTAGGCCTATTTGTATTCAGAGGCAGTGAGCAACGGACTTTCAAAAAAAAAAAAAAAAAAACCTCTGCGTTAACGCGCGATAAAAAATTTGTCGGCATTAATTAATAAATGCGTTAACGCGATAATAACGCGTTAACTTGCCCAGCACTAATTTTTTATAATATGGGTATTTTGGGTCACCCGTCTTATTAATAGTATATTTGGTAATAAAAAGTTGTTGTATTTTTTAATTGTGTTTTCATTAAAAATACAGGCCTATCATAACAACTTATAAAGATCAAAATCTACAGAAGACATTAACATTTTGATGTTAGACTATGTAGACATAGATGTTTGACATTTTGAACAATTTAAATTGAGTTGGGCCAACTCAATTTTGGTATTTTTTAATTCTAAATATTAATTATTGAGTTGGGCCAACTCAATTTTGGAAAATTTTAGTTCTAAATATTAATTATTGAGTTTGGCCAACTTAATTTTTTGAAAATTTTAGTTCTAAATATTAATTATTGAGTTTGGCCAACTTAATTTTGGAAAATTTTAATTGAGTTGGGCCAACTCAATTTTGGAAAATTTTAGTTCTAAATATTAATTATTGAGTTGGGCCAACTCAATTTTGGAAAATTTTAATTATAAATATTAATTATTTAGTTGGGCCAACTTAAATTTGAACAATTTAAATTGAGTTGGGCTAACTCAATTTTGGTATTTTTTTTTAATTCTAAATATTAATTATTGAGTTGGGCCAACTTAATTTTGGACAATTTAAATTCTAAATATTAATTATTGAGATGGGCAACTTAATTTTGGAGAATTTAAATTCTAAATATTAATTATTGAGATGGGCCAACTTCATTTTGGAAAATTTAAATTGAGTTGGGCTAACTCAATTTTAGAACATTTAAATTCTAAATATTAATTATTGAGTTGGGCCAACTTAATTTTGAAGAATTTAAATTCTAATGTTTAATTATATAGTTGGGCAACTTAATTTAAATCAGTTGGGTCAACTTAATTTTGGAAAATTTAGTAATTCTTTCCATTTTGCCTGTTTAAATTTCCATCTTACACATTGATTAATATTTTTACTTTTGTACTGTATTTTGAATTTCAAATATTACTGGCCAATGATCACTGCCCATATTATCTTCATGCTGTACACCAGCTAATGCTGCTGACATTATTGTAAGATCTAAACATGATGTGCTACCTCTTATTATATCCATTCTTGTTGGTTCCCCATCATCCAAACAAACCAGTTGATGTTCTTCTATTCTTCTATTATGTCCCCGCTATTATCAGTGTTTCTACTGCCCCATAAACCATTATGTACAATACAATCCCCACACATAATAATTTTGCCCTGTGCGTCACCCATCACCTCTTTTAAAATAGTGTAGCGAATTAGCTCAAAAAAGGAATATAATAAATAATTAATCATACTGGTTATGATCAATTATTACCTACATATTTTAAATCGCCCAAAAAGGGGATACATACATAGCATGTATTTGTCTGCAGAAGGCTATATATATGGATAATTAACTACAACGAATTATAATCAATTATGAATATATAGACAGGCTATACATTTTCAGAATAACCTTTTACATTAATTTCATATCGAATAATCTGTTCATCCACCGAACCGACAGTACGATCTTCTTGTCAACTCTCAAGGAAGTTTATTCTTCTGTTCTGGTCATGAAAGCAAATTTGCTGGAAATTCAGGCTAAGTCTATAAAAATAGCTAAGGCTAAGGCTATAAAAATGAATGAGCACAAGACGAAAACGTAAGGCAAGACAAGACTAAGACAAGACCAAGAATTAAGGCGTAAGAAGTAAGATGTAAGATAGTGATGAGCCATCATCCTTGACGGAGTTTGGAGGTGTTTCTGTTTAACCTCTGCCATACCACTAAAGTGACAATGGGGCAAATTTGATGCAGACTCATTGGCGCTAGGCCTGTAAATTTACATGAATGAGACTAATAGGTTAAAAGCTTTCTGAAAAAGTTTGACATGAATCGTGATTTCGTCCAGACACTACAATAGTATTACTTTAGTATTAAATAGTATTTATTTACATGGATTATAAAAATGTATAATTCTGATTTCATTCATTCGCATTATTTATTCTGCATTACTGTTTTTTATTTTATATACTCTTTTATATACGTAATACTTTTCTTACATGCAGCACATCCTCCACCTCTGCCATTTTCCCTATCTTTCCTACATATCCATTGATCTTAAATTCCAAGGAGCTGTTTCCAAATTCCAAATTCTTGCCCATTAGCTATTAAGCTCCAGGCATTCCAATGTAGTAGGAAACACATAGTGTTATGTATTATTACTCTGAGTCAGCCTCCTCTCCGACCTCTACAGAGCTCCCTTCGCTTCGCCTCGACCTATCGGCGGCGCCTTGGCTCCTCCTACCCTCGGCGCCACCTGAGATCCTCGGCCTTGCAGGTCCACCAGGCCCCCTCGTCCCAACGGCTTCACCTCGGTCAACCATCACCATTCCTGCTCTGCGTACTTATGAGCCATTCCCAGCAGCCCTTCGCCAGCTCCTCGATCTCCTTCAAAGCCCCCACCCTCACTCCCTTCCTCCCTCATCTAAGGCTCGAGGTCGCTCCTTCTGGGAGGGGAAGTTATGCCACGAACATTCAGTTATTTTGATCTGGGTTTTATTTCCATATTCTCCTTTTAGTTTCCTGCCACTTATTAGTTATTAATTAACAATCACAGGTGTTTGTCATTTATTTCCCTCCTTTGCTTGGTATTTCAGTTGCAGTCTTTTCAGTGTTCATTTGTCCGGTCACGTTTACGCATGGGTTGGGTTTGTGTATCTTGGTTTGTATTACCTTCTGAGTGGATTATTAAAGACATTTATACCTGATCTTCCTCTTCATCGTGTTTCCTGCAACCGTTGGTGACACAGTAGGCTACATTATCTTTGCAAATCATCAAGTTTACAATAGGGTAGACTGGGTACAGTTGAGACATAGGTACAGTTGAGACACCTTAAATAACTTGCGGCGGCAGCCAGCACAAGTTGTGATTTTTGCTGTGCACATGCGTATTAGTGTCCTCTTTGATCGTGGGAAATTTGATCAATGGACGCATCTCCGCTCCGAAGATATCGGCAAAAGTTTTTTTTTTAAGGTAAGACGTTCACTTCACCATGCACACTCCACAATGAATAGCTTATTATCCTTTTGTGACTGTTAAACGTAACTGGTATAATCACAAACGTTATTCTGTGCCCTAAAAACGGGCATATTTCATGGGATTGTTTCAGGCATGGTCATTGCAAAATCTAGAGAAATGCGCGAGGTGGCCATCAGGGTACAGTTGAGACACACTGTCTTAACTGTACCCGCGATAGAGTTCTATTAGGAAACACACTGTTTAGTTGTTCAGTGTTATGATAACAGGTTAAATGTCATAATTAGCCAGCATAAGCTGCAAATGAAATAAAAATTTGGTATTTGTGATAATTAAACTGTGTATTATTAATGAATATATAAAATATATTGTTTCTGTTTTATAAAATTTAACCAGTGCTAATTTAAATAACATTAATGAATTTGAATGGATGAATAAACAAACATGTTGCCCAATTGTTATTTTTTTTATTTGTCTTTATTTATTATATTTTCAATGAACGATTAGTTACCTTTACATCATTAAAAATGGGTGTCTCAACTGTACCATGGTACTGTCTCAACTGTACCACATATGGGTACAGTTGAGACAAAGTTGAGACAAAAAGCACCTTATTTTTATGAGCTAATTGTGGAAAATATAAACTACTTATGAGTAATATTGATTGATAATATCTTAGTCTACAAGCTCATGAAATGTCATGTGGCATATCATGTGGAAATTCACGTCTTTTCAGCATCTATTTTTGTGTGAAAAATCAAAACGCAAAAAGTGTCTCAACTGTACCCAGTCTACCCTACCAATCATGAATGTGTTCTGTAAAGATCTCTTATCTGGTTCTAGAGAACTCACTGACTCAGTAATCCAATAATCAGTAATTATTAATTAGTATACCGTAATTCCTCAAATAAAGACCGGTATTCAAATAAACGCCGGGCCTCTGATAGTGGCCGGGGGCGTGGTCAACGCGGACAAATAAAGGCCGGTCTCAAATTAAGGCCGGGGAAAAAATAGTGTGAATAGGTACACTTTAAATGAGTGTACACTCAAAGACGGACGCGCTCAGCGCTTGTCATATATCACAACTATTCAGTGTTTTTAACCACATGTTTATTTTAGGTTTCAGACAAAAGATATATATGTGTATATATTTAAAAAAGAAAGTAGCCTATGTGAACAGCGTGGCAAAGAGAAACAAATTGAAGGCAGTAATAAATGCAACTAATTTTTCTTTAATTGCCTTTATCTCCCTCTACTTTCACACCAACCTAATTCAAACTTGAATTGCCATTGACCTCTTCCTCCAATTAGACTTTTGCCATTTACCCTTGTTATATATATATATATATATATATATATATATATATATATAGGCTATAGCCTATATATAGGCCTATATATATATATAGGCTAGGCCTATAGCCTAAATGTCTACCTACTACCAAATCTCTTCCCACTCTCAATATTTTTTTTTACAAGTTCTGTCATATCATTTATGTGTAGAGTCCAACAGAATCCCGGTACTATCCATTCCCTTTGTATTTGCCTCCAAAACGTCAATATTTATCAAATTGATGGTGATGACTGCCGGGACAGTACAGAAGAGACAACGATCGTATGCCCGCCCAATCTGCAAATCTGCAAAATCACGTGACAGTAAGGAAGGAAGTCTTTTTTATTGCCTACTCAGTGCTGCTAACAGAGGGGATTTTGAAAAAAATGTCACCGAGCCTTTTAAAAGCACGGCGATGCTACCGATTCAGTTAGCCTAGCTATGTTCCGAAGTGTTTGCCTACGAGGAGTACAATCCTAAAAACTATGAGGATTTTATCAATGCTCATTCAAAATCTGCAGGAATCGCGTAGAAAAGGTAAATCAATAAAGCATATATATATAATTAAAACTTACAGATAAAAAAAAAAATTAAGCTATGTGATGATCCTGAGTGATAGAGATGTGTGTATTCATTTAAAGTTAAAGCCGGATTGTCGTTCAGTTTGTTTTAGTTTCATATCCATAGATCAAAATTTACGTGCTATAATAATGTGTGTGCTCTTTTAAAGGACAAGATGTAATGTGGGATACTAATATTCCTTCGAAGGTTGAGGTGGAATATGATTGTATGTCTGAACCGTTCACAAAACCACAATTGTCCTCTACACTGGTAAGTTTTCATCATGAAACAATATAAAACCAACACTGCACATCTGGGCATATTTATATAAAGCTTCTTAGGCTTCAACTTATTTTTTACAAGAGGATCTTAATGCTTACATTAGGAATAGGATCAAAGGTAAAATTTTATATTCAAATATACTCCGATTAATTTGTTAAAGGGATACTTCACCAAAAAATTTAAATTCTGTTATCATTTACTCACCCTCAAGTTGTTGCAAACCTGTATGAGTTTCTTTCTTCTGCTGAACACAAAGGAAGATATTTTGAAGAACGATTGGAACCAAACAGTTGTTTGGCACCATTGACTTCCATAGTAGAAAAAAAAATACTATGGAAGTCAATGGTGCCCCACAACTGTTTGGTTCCAATCGTTCTTCAAAATATCTTCCTTTGTGTTCAGCAGAAGAAAGAAACTCATACAGCTGTGCAACAACTTGAGGGTGAGTAAACGATGACAGAATTTTAAAGTATCCCTTTAAAATAGCCTAGAAAACCAATCTCTACCATGACTGCTTTGTTTTGAAGGACAATTCATACATGGACAAGCCTGTCACTTAATATTTTTTGTCTACGTCTTTGTATCCACACAGAAACAAAGCATCACCATGGAGACTTTTAAACACATTATAACAGACCTGGCAACACAGTTAGATAGAGTCACAACAAAGGTACATTACTAATTGTTACTGTTGGTACGTTTGTTTTAGACATTTTATCCAATCAGATGATCTCTTGACATGCCTCAATCCCTTTGTCTCATTTCAAAGGCTGCTTAAGTCAATGATGATGCCTCATTTCAGTAAAGTAACCATTACATTCTAAAGTCATAATGAAATCATAACAATTTACACTTCACAAGGAATAATGGTCAATTTTATAATGGTTAGGCTACTTTTGTGAAATAAGACATCCTCATTTGATGACATATGCGGCCGACAAATGCGCCTTTGAAATGAGACACAGCTTAATAATGATCCATTGAGAGATCATCTACATCATCATTCTTTTGTCTAGACGCTGAGTGAGTAAGTTTTGCTATTTCATTTTCTATTATAGGTTTTTGGAAAGTCCCAAGCTTACAATGTGGTGGATGACTTGAGTTTGGAGGAGTGTGAAGTTTTCATTGTCAGATGGTCTGAGGATCTGAAGTGTTTGCGTGGAAAATACAGAAGCCACCTAGGCAAGGTAAAATATCTCAATATCTCAATATATCTGTGTTTGTAACTACACACAGGGTCCAAGTTTAACGCCTTTTCTAAAGTGCCAAATGCGAGAATTGTTTTTTTATCAGGAAATAAAACGCTGATGGGCCTGTTACTTTATCAGGAAATGCTAGTCTGTTGAATCTTGCATGACTCCCACAAAGATTAGCTTCTAAAGAACTCAGAACTCCATGGTGAAATATTGCATTCCATTCCAATATATGTATTTCATGGAAGAAACACCCACACTTCAAACCTACACTATATTTCCATATCATTTGGAATGTATTTGAATTGATGATTTGCATTTGTTAATCAGCTGCAAAATGTGGATATGTGCTTTTATTTGCACATTTATTTCCATGAAGTAAAGGAGAATGAAAAGGAAACCAGATAATCAGTTAGGGTGTTTCAATAACTAGGCTAGTCCCTTTGGTTCATTATACTGTTGGTAACAGCTTATAGTTTATGATATTTATAGGTATGGTCATGTTGATGTCAGTCTACTGCTGCTGGTGAACTCCATAAAAAAGTAGTGTGGTGTTTCGTGTACTTGCGTCAACAGTATAAAGATGGCCTATACAGAAAGCTATCAGAACCATGAGAAAACATTCAGTGTCTGCTGTAGGGATATAAGACATGCATAATGCAAATTGCAAGTATTGCAGATACAACAAAAAGATTGTTAAAAGGTAGTTAATGTTTAAATATTTGTATTTCATCAGATATTCAATGTTGAGAGATTCAAAAGGAGTCTGGAAGGTCTAAACACCAGAGAAGATAAAGTTCAGAAACTGACAGAAGCTCATAAAGATTTTTACTGGTTTATTTATATTTTGAAGTCACTTCCAAAGGTTAGTCATGATAAAAAAAGCTTTATTACTTGATCATACTGTCATTTTAAGCCCATACATATGAATATGGATTTATCTGCCTTGTTAATTTTCTCTTGTTTTTGTTTAGTCCTCAGTGTGTCGAGAAGGATGTGCTAGAGTAGAGCTGTTGAATCTTTACAGACTGTGGAAGAAAGGGCAGCTGATCAGCATGCTTCCTATCATGGACTTTATCATGAAGACACTACTCAAGGAAAAGGTATCATGTTGAGATCATGTTTCTCTTTTGTTTGTTTTCTTGTTTATATGTTACTCCACCATTATAATCATCCACATGTGTGAAATTGTTTATAAGCCTTGTTTCACTCTTCCATTTAAAATATATCTTAAAAGCAACTCAAAAGCAACTGCTTTTATTGGGTGTCTAGATCTTAGGGTCCTTCCTATTAGATTTGACTGCCGTTTGAAAACCAATTTAAGTTTAAATATAGAACTGACCCTAAACCATCTGGAATTGCAGATGGTGGCATAGATGATCTATGTAAATAACTCTTGGTTTCATGACTTTAGGATTCCATTTTGAAACGGAGGCTTCAACATAGATCAGCATTGATGGAAACAGGTGGGGATTTTGTATTTACATATGTGTAATATTCACCTTAGAATGTGTGGGTGGTGTTTTTTGTAAGCAGTAAGCACATATGGTAAGTTGTGCATTTATAAGAAAAGGGAAAGAGATAATCACTTTCTGTATGACATTACATTCCTGTAAAATTCCAAAACATGTCTCCCATTACTTTATTTTTCTAATTTCTAACTACTTCTAATTCTCCGTCTCTCCATTTTAGGTTCATGTGTACCACTGGAATTTAAACTGCATATTCTAAAAGACTTAATGATGAAATTCTCACTTTAGCATTAATGTACCACCTTTGTGATCAAACTGAATGACAGCTCTCAAGGAATGGGAGCCTGAGTGAGCCAAGAACCATCACAAACAATAGTAACCTTTACAGCCTGCTTGGAAGAACTATTATAGCTGCTGTGTAGCTAATGGAATGAGACAAGAGAGACAACACAGGACATTCCCCAAATTTCACTGTTTTATTGGAATTTTGTAAACAGTTCTAAGGAATCATCTGAGTCCAAGAGAATTGCTTGGGGTATAGATTTCCAATATGACCTTCCAGATTCAGAATGGAGCCAGATATGTGTTAAAGCCCAGAATCTGTCAATTAACACTAGATTTAAGCTGATCCAATATAACTGGGTAATGCGTACAGATGTCACCCCTGAAAAGTTAAATAGGTTTAAGAAATCCCAGATATCTGTTTTAAATGGCAAAAACATAAGGGTACATTCTTCCATTGTATCTGGGAATGTGAGGTGATCAAGACATTCTGGCAAAAAGTGACAGCACTTATTTCTTCAATTATTTCAAAACCAATTCCAATGACCCAATGACCATTTTACTAAGGAGAGCCAAATGTGAATTTTGACTGTTCCTGCACTTTCAATTTCATTATGAATTCTTTTATATGGTTTCTTGTAAATAGCAACTATAATGATCACAGGCATTCAGTGGCACTCTGTACTTGTAAGCCACCAATGTATTCATGTGTTGCAATGCAACAGCTCTAAACCCACAGTAACGTTATAGGTCAGGCACTGATGAGAAGTCTTAACAGTTTACAGCTAGTATGTTGGCAAATTAGACTAGAGTAAATCAAATAGGTCAGAAAAAGTCTTTTGATAGTGAAAAAGTTAATTGTCAATGCAAAATCACATGATATATTAATAAATGAAAATATTTTGACACATTTGTTTACTTCATGTATGTGGGTTTTTTTTAATCTTCCCAGATTGGCCTAGTTGTGTATGATGAGGTACTTTCAGTTTCTCTTTTTGGGACTGTGGTTGTTAATTATTTTCAGTGTATTATCAGAAGGTTTTAATTAAATAAATAAAAATACAAATTTTATTAAAATTGATTTGAAATTTAAGACGTTAGTAAAACCTTGAGTTATAATATATTTGGCCACTAGAGGTCATAAAAGGTTCGTTTCTCAGTGTTGTCCTGTGAAGTGCACTTTCATACCTTTTCTGCAGATATAATTTAGTCTTTCTACATTTTAAAAGAAATTATGTCTCAGGTTAGGTGAAAATCTTTATCCTGCACAACAGACAAACACAAGGCTCTTTAGTCATCACTCATTGTATCTTTATTATCAGATAAAATCTTGACATATAAACCAGTAAATGATCATTGTATCTGGTGAGAGGTATTGCACACAGCATAAAATTATTGTTATAAATCGTTTTTAAATGATACAGTCCATCTAAATATGGATCTAAATTTGGGAACTATCATTTTTTTAAAACTCTTTTTTAATGGACTTGAACACCATTGGTAGTAGCAATTTGGTAGTAGCAATTCAGAACAACTCAAAAAAGGATGTGAATGTTATACACAAATTGGTGGATTTATAAACAATAACACAATTATTTCTATGGCCCAGGATCAGCATGTAACAATGAATGGCAAATGTATAGATAAACATAACTATTAAACACAACCGACAGATGAGGCATAAATTGAGAATGTGAGATTATTTACTCCCTGTGACTATCCCTGTGGATTTGTAATAAATGCTATGAAAAAAAAATGCTAAAATCAAGACTATTTTTTTGTTGTTGTTTGTTTTTGCTTGTATTCTTTGACCTTTCTAGCTTCAAAACATAAATGTTTGACATTTAAAAAAAAAAAGAATTAAAATTGTGTTAGGAAAATATGTCTTTAACACTTTTCACAGCGAGAAATTAGCTACTTTTTAGAAAGTGGCTAATGTTTATATTTTTACCGTATAAGCTATTCATATGATTTTTTTTTTTCAGTTTCTTTTGCATTGCTTTTAAGATTAACTCGGATCTGGGACACCTAGGGTACCACAGAGGGGTGCTATGGGGCTTAATTTTGGGAAATGATATTTTTCTCAATTATTACAAATTCTTATGCATGAAAATACATAGCTGCCTTTATACTTCAGTATAAAGGGGAGCATCATTTGGGATCAGATTTTGAAAACTCCTGATCTAGAAAACATGCAGTATGCTGGTCCACCTGATAATGTGGCACTAGAGAAATTTGGAATCAAAGAATTTGATTAAGTTTCTGTTTGGTCAGTCATATAGTTAGATCATCTGACCTGGCTCTGCTGCTCCCTTTGCTAAGACGACTTAATGATCTTGTTTCCTCTGTTGTCTCTAGTTCCAGAGCTACAAGTGGAACATCCATCACCTCCTCTATGGCCTCCAAGGCTTTTGATTTTTCAGAACACTCCTTCTCAGGGCCTCCAGTTTCCACAGAGTCTTCTTCTTTCTCATCCCACTCCCTAGAGCCTTTCAACTCCTCTGGATCCTCTATCTCTAATGATACCCCATCCTTCCCCAAAGTTTTCACCTGTACAGAGTCAACTGAAAGTCCTAGAGCTTTATCTAGAACTTCCTCACCTGTATTGAATGCAGTCTCAATAGGTCTATTCTCATTTAGATTTTCTAAAACTTCATCCTTACCCATCCTTACATCTTCTAGACCACAACTTCTTCCTGCATCCACTAAATCCTCTAGAGCACCACCCTTTCCTATATTATTTACATCTTCTAAAGTTCCACCCACTCCTGTGTCTACTTCATCCCTTTGAACTCCATCCCCTTCTGTATCTTCTACATCCCCCTGAGCTTTGTCCTTTCCCAAATCCACTTCATCCCCAATGGGCTCTATGCCAGATACATTTGACCCTACAACCTCCCCTAAAGCCTCAGACTTTTGTTCCCCCAAATCTCCAGCAATCTTCTCATCATCTAAAGTTTTTACCTCCTCCAAAATGTCCTCATTTACAAAAGGCTCAATCTCACAAAGTTCTCTCTCTTCATCAAACACCCCAATTTCTGTCCCTTCCTCTACCACATCAGGTAAACCCTCTTCTTCTCTTAACCCCTTGTCCTTATAGGTGTTATCCTCCTTTCCCCTAATTTCCTGTGAGATTTCATTCTCTTCAGCTCCTGAAAAGTTTTCCTCTTGTGTTGGCTCAGCATCTACCAAACTCTTTTTCACTGACTTTTCCTCAGTTGCCTCTCTACTGGCCAGTTCTCTTAGATCTATATCCAGACTCTCCTCAAGTGATATTAAATATGTTTCCTCCACACTTTCTCCCTCTGATCGCTCCTCCAGTACTTCTGGTAAAGCTGCCTGAGTCTTTAAGCTGTCTACCTCATCTCCTTCCCGAAGTAGCTCCTCTGGGAGCTTTGATAGTGTCTCTGTGACCTGAATGAAGGAGGGTTGAGTCTCATCACAAATGATTGTCTCCTCTACAGGTGGAGCTGTTGGCACAACTGCCTCCTGACTCCTTTTCTGCTCCTTCTCCAGTTGAGGTGAGAAGAACTGTCCCTCTTCCATACCGACCTCAGCTAGTGGATATATGTGTGCAACCTCGTCTATCTTCTCCTCTTCAAGGTGCCTATAGCCTTTGCGTTTTTGGACAGGGGTGTTTAAGAGAAACGGTAAGCTTCTCTCCGGTGGTCCAAGAGGTTCCAACTGTGCAGGAGCTGGTCGATGAAACACAAAGCGGATCTTCTTCAAGCCAAGGTGGCTGATCTCCACAAAGTTGAGGAACAATGAAACACAAGCAACTGCCAGCATGAAAATGATGAAGATAGTCTTTTCGGTGGGCCGGGAGACGTAGCAGTCCACCGTGTTGGGGCACGGCCAACGACTGCACTGGTACAGTGGCAGGATGCGGAACCCGTAGAGGAAGTATTGTCCGACTACAAAACCTACTTCAAACAGAGCTTTGAAGATGATATGGCATATATAGGTGCAAAGCAAGGTTCCCTCGAGTCTGAACTTTTTGCTACTCTTCGTACTGGTCTCCTTGGTGGTGCGAACACTTCCCTGATCCGTCGCTAGGGGAAGACGCTCCTCACCTATTTCCTGTTGGTGGCTAACCTCAGCTTCTTCACGCTCCTTGCGCTTCTCCTCCATATGAATGTAATGGACAGCATGGCCGACGTATACAAGCGAAGGTGTGGATACAAAAATGATCTGTAACACCCATAGACGGATGTGAGAGATCGGAAAGGCCTCATCGTAACACACGTTCTCACAACCTGGCTGCTTAGTGTTACATATGTAATCAGACTGCTCGTCTCCCCAGACAAACTCGGCAGCCGTGCCCAGAATTAAGATGCGGAAAATGAACAGCACCGTGAGCCAAACACGGCCAATCACAGTGGAGTGCTCGTTTACTTCCTCCAAAATATTACCCAAGAAGCTCCAGTCTCCCATGATTGTATATTAGCTGTGTACAAGAAAGACAAAAAGGAATTAGGGAGAAACAAGATGACACAAGTGTCGGTAGCACTTTATTTACATGCTATGTACTTATTATAGTAATTGGAATAACTGGGTAATTACTAAGTAACCCTGAACCTACCCCTTAACCTAATCTTAACCCATCTACTAACCTTATATCACCCAGTACTCTCTTAGGTAAGTACACATGAGTGCACATAGCCTACTGTTAAAATAAAGTGCAATACAAGTGTCTTTTACATTATCCAGTGATGCATAATAAGCCTGACACATACATAATAAATACATAATACACACTTGTTGTTTTTTATACAGCATTTTCAAAATATAGTTAGTGATATCACAAAAAATACTTTCCAAGTGTACCTTCTCACTAATCTGTAAACCTTCTTTTTAAACAAAACTAGACTGAACTGACCATTTACAAACAGGACCAGGAAACAACTGTAAGACTCAGATATGCCATTGCCAAAACACATCACCAATGGGTTCACATTCAACAATCTAAGCCATCTGCACATCTTAGACATAAAAGAAAACAATTTTAAAAGACAAAAACTATACATATAAGCTTTTGCATGAAAAGGAGAGCCAATGTGAACTTTGCTCAAACACGGTCACCTTTGCAGTG